GGGAGCTTTGCTCCCTGATCCTCCGGTGGTACCATCTGCTCAGCTGTGGTGCAGTGTCATAGTCAGGGTCCCGACACCAAGACGACCTGGGTCTTGGCTTCCAGGTTTCACCTAAGAACGTGTGTGTGTGTGTGTGTGTGTGTGTGTGTGTGTGTTTCACCATGCGACTCTGTCCCCAAGGCTGAATCGTGTAGCCCCCACAGTGAAGTCACAGCTCAGCTCGTCACCCACCCGTGCTGTCTGTCCCCCCACCCCGTTACAGGGGTTCAACCCGGGCCCTTCGCATGGAGCTATAGCCCATCTTTAAATTTATTTTGAGACAGGGTCTCACTGAGTAGCTAAGTCACCAGGCTGGGTTGGAACTTGAAATCTTCCTGCCTCAGCCGCCTGGGATGCTGGGATCACAGGTGTGGGCGACACGCTGTCTTTTTACAGTCAGATATTGCCTCTCCCCCTTCCCCAGACCCTGCCATGCACTAGTCTGCTTCCAACCTGTGTACTGTTGTCATCTCACAGGCCATATAATGGAGTCTTTAGCCTTTTGCAGTCTACGTACTTTGAAAAATATCTAACCTTTTGGATTTGCTTTTTCCATTCAACTCGATCCCCTTGTAATCCACCTGAACTGTCGGGAAGATTGACAGTGTGTCCCTTGGTCCTGCTGTTTGGGCCTCCGTGGTAGCCTGTTCACTGTTGCTTGTTGCTTGTGCTCTTCCAGCTTTGAGCTTAGTTGGCTTGTAATTTTTTTTTTTTTTTTGCGGTACTGGGGATTGAACTTGGGACCCAGAGCTTGCCAGGTAAGCACTTATTCTACTGAGCTATCTCCCCGGCCCGGCTTACAATATTTTACTTGATATTTTTCAGCATCCTGTTTGGAGAGGGAACCCAAGGTCCTGGCCAGGTCTGTGCATAGGTCTGCTGGTATGCAATGTGGATCTATGGGCAGACACCTCACTGCGACCCCCCGCTCTCATGTGGAACCAAACACTCGTTGCATGTGGACCCTGATTCAGACAAAATGTAAAAGGATGACATCTGTGTGTGTATCACTGGTTATTGGGTGACAGTAAGGAGTTAGTGTTTCCTTTTGTAGATAGGACAGTGGCAGTTGTCTTTGGTTTTACGTCCATTTGTTTTGTGTGCTGGGTGGAGATGAAGCCCATGGCTTCGTGCATGTCAGGCAAGCCCTGGAATACCCCCGGCCCAAAGCCTTTATGATTTAAAAGCATTTCCCCAAATAGTTACAGATTCAGTGACATGAGGTCTGACATCGGGGGATCCTGGGAAGACTGGCTGCCCCTGAGTCGCCATCGCCGCCGCTGGATGGTGGCCCGGTGGGAGTCCGAGCGCTGTCTGAGGGCTGGAGGATATGTCTACGAAGGGCCATAATAAAAACAACTTATTTCATAAAGCTACAGAGTTGTTTTTGCAAAGGGGAAACATCTGGATTCGGAAGAGAGGGGCCATTAACTGAGTAAGTGGGTGGAGGCCAGAGTCCTGGGCTGCGGCTCAGAATCACTAATCTCTCTGTGCTGGATTTTCCTTGTGGCAAAGTGGGGTGCGTGGAGGGTGGGACAGATGAAGGTGTCTGATCACTGAAGCCAGCTTCCAGCCCAGGCTCAGGCTGGCTGGGTGGGACCTGGACCGGTGGGATGGAGGGTGAAGGGCAGTCAGGCAAGGCCTCGGGTCTCAGTTCTTCAGTTGCTGGAGACCAGAAGGTGCTTAAGATGCTAGGCTTGGTGACGCACTCCTGTCACCCCAGCATTTGAGGAGGCCGCAGTAGGACAGTCGCCAAGATTTGAGGCCAGCCTGAGTTACACAGGGCAGCCCATCTCAACTCCCCTACCCCCCAAATTAAGAGAAAGTAGTTCCAGGAAAATGAAACTGGCTCTTGCAGCTGCCTGCCACCCACCCATGCGCAGGCCCAGTGACTGCTCTTTGCCACCCCTGACCTCAGGCTGGCTGGGTGTCCGCTTCCAGTCAGCAGTTTGCAGAAGCCCAGGCAAGCGGCCCCCAGGGGCCAATTCCCAATGTCTCAACAGGATGTCACCCTTTGTGCAGCTCCGTGCTGCTGCCCAGACTGGTGGTGGTAGAGACTTTGTATGCAAAAATCACCAAGACCTGTCTGCAGTAGGGTCTCACTACATAGCTGAGGCTGGCTTTGAACTTGTGGCGATCCTCCTGCCTCAGCCTCCCAAGTGCTTGGATTACAGGTAGGTGCCCCCGACCTGGCTCCTCTGATGAATCTTGGAGTGTTTGTCTCACTGAGGCACTGGTGGGGCTGCACCCTGCGGTCCTCAGATGGGCAAAGTGTGATTGTTGTGCTAGGAGCAGAACCCATCTCAGTTGGGAGGGCCAGAAGCAGAAGGGAGCAGGGTTAAATGAAGCAGACACGAAGGATGCCCGGTTTGAGAGACACCAGGCAGGTAGAGACCGCTGGGTGGGAGTCCCCTGGGCCACAGGGCTCAAGTCACTGTGCCCTGGGCAGGCGGCTTTCTGTCCTTCTCTGGTTCTCTGCAATGCCGTGTACAGGTGGGAGGTCCTGAGAGCTGCTCCGCGCCGGCGCAGGTGCGTAGTACACGAGTGTGTGCGCTGATTTGAGAAGAGCTGAGAGGCTGGACACTGCGGATAAGGTGACCCTGTCCCCAGGGGGCAGCCCCTCCCAGGCCCCAGTGCTCTGAGGGGCCACAGTGCAGGCCGGGTGGCCAGGGAGGGCGCCGGGTGGGGGTGGGCGCTGGGTGGCCATGGAGGGCGCCGGGTGGCGGTGGGCACAGAAAGAGGAAATAGAAGAGGTGAGATGAGCAGCTTGCTTCCTCTTGTGCCCTCAGCGGGCGACAGGAAGAGGCTTGTCTGAGGGTCTGGTCCTGCATCACATCACAGTGAGTAAACTCGTGCCAACCCAGCTCCCAGGGGAGGGCAGGTCTGTGGGGCACGAATGCAACTTTGGGACACAGCTGGAAGGGAGTGAGCTTGGCCCAGAAGGGGGAGAAATGGAGGGACGGGGGGAGGCAGAGAGGGTCAGGGCCAAGCTGGGCTCCCATCGCTGTGGGGGTGGCCATGGCCTGGTCAGCTGCGGCCCCTGGGGCCTGCGTCTCCTGGGTGCCTGCTGGGTGTGGGGACAGTACCTGGTTCTCTGCAGATGGACGCGGCTCTGACAGTGAGGCTTGCAGGCTTCAGAGAACAGACTTACCTCCAAAATATTGTAGTCTTGGGCCTGGGAGATGGCTCAGTGGAATAAGCGCTTCCCTGGCAAGCTCAAGGGTCTGAGTTCAATCCCTGGTTCCAACCAAAAAAAAAAAAAAAAAAAAAAAAAAATTGTCTAAAGACTTGGGGGACCAGGGGACCAGGAGAGGGTCAGGGCTGCAGCGGGGCCCAGGGAGCCAGGCAAGGCCTGTGGGGACGAAGGCCTGCACTGCGGAGGCCAGGCAGCGCCGCTCTTCACCAGCACAGCAGGTGTGTCCCCTGTGTGGGGGTGGAAGCACGCCGAGGAGGACACAGGACAGTGAGCTGTTGGTTCCCCGACAGGCCATGGGAGAGCCCAGAATGCCAACTGCCCAGCTTCGAGCCTGGGTCCACCCCACCTGGGGTGGCAGCAGACCCCGACCTCAGAGCAAGAGCTGCACCCCAGCCTCCTCTGGCTGCACGCGCTGCCAGGCATTTCGTGACTGGAATCTGGCTGCTGCGTGCTGCTCTGGCTGCCCTGGGGCTTGTGGAGAAGCTGGTGACCATCCCCTGGGTGAAGGGGACTTCCTCCGCACATTTTAAAGGAATCTGGGCAGGGGCTGGAGAGGGTGCAAGGCCAGACCTGCAGAGGAAGAGTAGCTGACCCCACAGCGGTGGAAGACCTCAGGCCACCTGGCCTGCTCAGCACCTGCTGGATCTCCTGGTCTGGGGCAGTGACGCACTTCCGGCTGCAGCCTGCCCTTCCAGGAAAGCCAGGTCTGGCCAGGAAGATGCCTCAGTGTGTCACAGGGATCCCTGGCTATCCAGCCAAGGGCTTGAGGCCCTCACTCAGGATGTGACCTGGAGGGCAGGTGACAACCTCTGGCCACATCTCATTAGAGAAGCCAGCTCAGCAGGAAGTGGATGTCGAGATATTTGAAGAGAGGATGAGACTTTACTGGCAAGATAAATAAGGATAGAAATGGAATTCGATAAATACTTATGAGTCCATTGGATAGAGAGGAGAGAGAGAAAGAGAGACCACTTCTTTCCAATAGTAAGGTTTCAACTAATGTAGAAAGAATGAAGGAAAGAGAAAAATCATCATTTGGCAAATTCCACACAGAAAATGCCATCAGTGGACACCAAAATTAGGAAGCAAAAATAGGGCAAGACATCGGAAGCTGGCTGTCTCCAGTTATCTGTCCTCAGGATTCCTGCTAATTATGGAGGGGTAAATAATGTCACAGCAAGAAACCTGGGCAAGACCTCTGACCCCAGTGATGGATATCACTTAGCTGCCAAAGGGGCAGCCTGGGGTCCCGAAGCTTGGATGCTGTGTGCAGAGGGGCCGTGGGGTGTCCTGGCCGGGTGCGGCCCCTTGACCCAAGGTCCAAGAAGCTGGGACCTGGGGGCGGTCTACAGACTTGTGGAAGCCATCAAGGCCGCGAAAGCCAGCACGGCTGGGGAGCTGTCCGGGAACGAGGAGGCTGAGGTGCCTCTGCCCAGAGCTGTGGGGTTCTGGTCCCCATCCTGGGCCGGAAACGGCACTGGTGGGAGGTTGACTGGGCTCTCAGTTCTGGGGCTCGAGAGCACGGTGCCCGGATCTGCGGAGCTCTGGGAGGGGCCTGTGGTGGGGTGTTGCAGGGGTGGGAGAGGTCTTATAGACAGGAAGTGGGGGGCGGAGAGCCAGTAGCTCTCCCTTTTATAGAGGCCATTCTGGGGGTCTGATCCCTGCAGGGCACAGTCCCAAGGGCCAGCACCTTGCACGCACGGACTTGAAGGCCCTGTCGCTGAACGCCGCCACGGGGCTGAGCCCCAGCTCTTGTGCAGTGCATGAGAGGCCCAGCAGCGCCATTCCCAGTCTGCATCTGCCACCGAGATTGCACCAGACGCGAGTGGCAGGGAAGCCGGCTGACAGGTACATGGGGATCCTGGGCATTCTTCTTATGAGTCTAAAAATAATTTTAACATAAAGAAGAAAAAGGTAAGGGAAGGAAGCTGGGCTCCAATCCTGGAGTTTAGCTGCTTCTGGGCAGGGAACTGGGTCTGTGGCTCTTTCTCTGTAGAGGGTGTGAGGAGCACCAGCCTGTGAGGCCTGGACACTCACTGCGGGCCGTGCCCACCCCATCTAGTCCACAAGGACCTGCCACAGCCGGGGTTCTGCTCAGTGAGCCCAGAGAAAGGCAAACACCTCAGACCACGTCCACCTCTTGGGGACACTGGGGCCTCTGATGCCGGTCTGGGGCACTGTCCCATCCCCGACACAGATGCTGACAGAGCCCAGGGAGGTAAAGCCAGCATCTCTAAGTTACACAGCAATAAATGCAGAGCCAGATTCAAAGCCAGGTCTCTGTGGCCCTGAACCTGGATCCTCACCCCCTGGTGTTTGCTGGAGTCAGGTGGAAGTCACAGGTCGGGGAGGGTAAGGGCAGTAGGCTGGGGAAGAGGGAGGGAACACCTCGATCCTGGACCCCAGGATGGGCACCGCACACTGGAGCACAGGGAGGGCTGTGGGCCCCACACTGTGTGCATTCACAGGGCAGGATAGATGCTGATGGCCCTGGCCTGGGAGGGAGAGGACAGCAGGATGCCCTGGTGGGCAAGGAGGGAGGGGTGGAGGGAGGGAACCGCAGCCCACATGACCAGTCAGTGACAGCGCGCTGGCTCAGATGAGAGTTAGAGGTGGGTGTAGCCTGGATGTGACAGGACGGGGTGGGGTCCTGTCCGGCAGCAGCCAGGCGGATGAGCTGCAGACAGCCCTCTGCGGCCTGAGACGGCAAGGCACAGGGCAGGGGCGCAGCCCACGGCCCTGCAGGACAGCCAGCTTCTCTCGGTGTGCAGACCGCAGCCCCCTGCAGCTGCCCAGGCAGGTCCAAGCACCAGGGCAGGGGTTGGGGCGCCTCCCAGGAAGCAGAAAAGGAAGCATCAGAGGTAGGAGGCTCACGGGAGAGGGCCATTGCAGAGCAAGCCCGAGAGGAGACCAGAGCAGCGCTCTGCACGCAGGAGGGGGTCTCCGGCAGGGCGTGGGAAGTGGGGTCCAAGGAGAGGGCTCCCCACCAAGAGCAAGGCTTGAGCGAGCCCCGCCTGGCACAAGGTGGGGAGCACAGGCGCAGGTGGCTACTGTTCACAGCAGGGCTGGAGGGGCGGTGCTGAGGGGTCTCTGGCCAGGGCAGCTGCGGTCAGACATCAGACCCCTTAAGCAGTTGCCCCAGCAACTTGGTGGCCAGCGCCTGGAGCAGGGTGCCCTGTGGACGCTGCCCTCTTTGGGTGGCTCTGGAGCTGACAAACCCAGTAGGTGCTGGGGCTCTATGTCACCTCAGAGGGCCCCCCTCCGTCCATGAGGGCCCCCCTCTGCCCATGAGGAACCCTCTCCTGACCCCAGCCCTCCACTGCCATTTAGTCAGTCTACCCCATAACCAGCGCAGGGTCCCTCAGCCCTGAGACGTGCATTGGCTGGGTGTGAGGGTGCACACCTGTGATTGTAGGGAAGCTGAGGCAGCAGGATCGCAAGTTCAAGCCTTGCCTGGGAATACAGCATGACCCTGTCTCTAAAAAATAAGTATGAGCTGGGGCCACAGCTCCACTGAGGGACGTAGGCTCAACTCCTAGTAGTGCAAACCCAGAAAAAGTGGGTGGATCATACCCTGCCTGCATTTCCCTGCTCCCAGGGTGGCAAGGCATGCGGTTTTGAACCTGGCATCCTGCTGAAATCCAAGCCCAGGGAGTCCCAGTGGTGGCACAGCAGGGACAGCAAAAGGTGGAAAACAGCAGAGGAAAGACAAAACATCACTCCTCTCGGGTGGCAGTGGCTCTGCAAGTGCCAGGCGCTTTGTCCGCACTCCCAGAAACCGGCTCTGGGAGGAGGCACCAGCGAGGCTGCAAACATCCTGGTCCCCGATAAGAGCCAGGAAGCAGTGCAGAGCATGGGCTCCCGGGGCTGGGGAGGGAGGCCTCGCAGGGACCTCAGTGACCTCGGGCTGCTGGAAGGGCACAGAGCCGCGGGAACAGGGCGCAGACCCTGGCCCTGCAGGAAGACCGCAGCGCCTAGAGCCACCCTGGGGACTCTCAGCCTCTTCTAAGGACTTTTTATTTATTTTTTATTTTTTGCTCCGAATGCCCTCAGGGGTGGTTTGGCTGGCCGGAGTATTGTGGGGATTGAACTACAGCAACCTGAGGCTGACAGCTTTGCCTAAGCAGCCGCTTAAAGAACTGAGCTAGGGCCAGGCCCCTTCTTAGCCTTTTCTGTTTCCCATATATCTCCAGGTCTTGCATTGAAAATGTTTCATTTTTAATCAGGAAAAATATTTAAGAAATAAGACAGTGCTCCCTGCCACGGCCCAGAGCCCGCAGTGGTGGGACTGGTTGGCTGGGTGCCCTTGGGCCCTGAGGTCCGGGCAGGCCTGGGCCAGTGCCATTTTCCAGAGGGAACTGAGAGCCCAAGGCCGGATGGTGGCGGTGACACAGGTGGTGACAGGTCATCAGCACTGAGGGACACAGGGAAGAGCTTCCGCAGACAGGAGCACAGGGTCAGGAGGAAAAGTGGCAAGTTCCCTGGACTGGAATCACAGTCCAGGTGAGAGAAGGGGGCAGGCCACGGGAGAGGGTGAGTCGGGGCGCGGGGCTCTACTCCCCGTTGCCCCTCCTGGGCCCTTGCGGCATCTAAAGCCGCAGACAGAAGCTGCAGGCCACTGTGTGGCTTGGGCCTCCCAAAGGCTTGTCACCCCGACACGAGGGTCACATCTTGCACCTCTTTGGGCCAGGTGAAGTGTCAGCCCACCGGGGAGGAGCTGCTTGTGCCTTCGACGGTGTCCTGTGCCTCTCGGTTAGCCGGAACACTGGGGCGTGTGAGACCATTTTGTGCTGAGAATCATTTTCTTTTGACACAATTTGAAAATCTAATTTTGATTAGCGTGTGTTTGCTGGACGTAAGGACCACATTGTTCATAGGGAGTTGACACGTGGACAGAACAATCGCAACTTTTTCTCTTTCTGCTCCCCTCCCTCCACCCTTCTGCTTCCCTTTCACAAAAGCTCCCTGTTTCCTATCGTCTGTCTTTCACTTCGCTCTAGTGTATCTGTAGCCTGCTCTCATATCAGAGAGGCAATGGATATTTCAGCTTGTGTGTCTGAGTTGTTCCACTCACAGCGTGGCCTGCGTGTGACTCGCACTTGTCCTTCTCTATGGGGCAGCCAGACTCCGTCGTGTGTCAGGGCCACGCTTCCTTATCCAGTCTCCTGCTGGTGGACCCACTTAGTGAGTCGGAGCTGTGCTGCTGGAAGCCAGAGTGTGCGTCACACAACATGCTGTCTTAGTTCCTTCAGGAAGACTCCTAGAAGGGGAACAGCGGGGTCGGTGCTGACGTCCTGCGTTTGGTGGCGTTCGCATTCCCGCCAACAGCGCAGCCGCAGCTGAGGGCCTTTGGTCACGAGGCCGGCTCAGGGTGTGCGGGGCGGAAGCTCGTCAGTGGAAGGCCTCGCTGCCAGGTATGGCAAGCCCTCTCACAGCACGGGCGTGGGGGCGTCAGGGCCTGCACGGGGCACCTGTCCCATCCTGGGGGCCAGGGCATGAGGAGGGGCAGCCAGCCTCAGGGACACGATTTCCACGGCTGCCGCATCCGGGGCCCGCGGTCCCTGCATGCCCGGGGGAAGCAGTAGCCCCTGGCCCTCCGCTCGGCAGTTTCTGTTGCTGTCAGCTCTGCTAGCCCCATTGGGTGGCATTGACACCCTACCCTCATCCTAGAGTCAACTCCAGTCGCATATAAGCCCGACACAGCCAGGGACAGAACTGTCACACTGATGACTGCAGGAATGTCTGTTTTAAATGTATTTTGTATGGGGTTGGACGCATAGTGATCCTCCTGTTTGCAGCCTCCCCAGTGCTAGGATTACAGGCATACACCACCATGCCTGGACTCTGTCTCCGGTTCAGTGTGCACAGGGGTGGGGCCGGCACAACATGTAGTGCAGGGGATTGAACCGGGGTCCCTGAACTTCCTACGCAGGCGCTTGGCCCACTGAGCTATCTCGCCGGCCCAGACGCAGCTTGTTTATCTGAGCACTTTGCCCTGAGCTCCCACGAATCTGCAGATGTGAACGCTGGCAGTGCCTACTGTGCATCTTGGGAGTATTTCTCTCGCTCACTGAGTTTCAGTTTCTCATGGTAAAGCGGGCCTTGGGAGCATTCGGGTTCTTACCATGCGCAGAGCTGAGGGAGGACGCCCACACCTGGAGTTATGCTCTCTGAACAGCGGGGCGTCCTGTTGAGGAGCACAAGCTTCCAACAGAGCAGAGCTGACAGCAGCGTGGGTGTGCACGGCTGGCCTGAAGGTCGCACGGGTCAGTCCGCACACTGTCTTCCTTCCTTCCTTCCTTCCTGGGCTGCTTTGCTCTTGTGAACCTGGCGGGACCCCCAAGGCACACAACTCTCACTGGGCGGTTTGCTGTACAGACAGGAAGCCTGTCCCAGGAGGGCCAGCGCCCCGTGCAGCCTCACTTCCTTACAGGGGCTACAGGCAGGCAGGTATCAGCGGCTCCACCCAAGATGGTCATTTGGGAGCGCCTGCCCTGGCTCAACACTTTGACTTTGGCCTGTGATCTCCTGTCACAATCCCACACCTGCGGGATCTTGCATTGTTCCTTCTCCATCCCTGGCCCTAGCCCTTGCTTTCTCAGGAGTTGGAGTGGACCCTTGGCCCGGGCTTGGGTCCCAGTTTTACTCGCTGTGCAATCCGGCCCAGGTCTTCAGTCCTGTCTCGATGTGCTCTTGTGTGACGTGGAGATAGTGACCCTGACTGCTCCTGCTGCAGGATGGAATAGATGAGCGCAGGTGGCATTCTGTGGGCACAGCCTGTGTGCCGTAAGTGCTGCAGAAATGTGGAGAGTTAGACCTCAGTCTGCTGTTCTCCCAGGCCCTGGAGG